AATGCAGAGTCTTGAACCTGAGGAGGAATATCTCTGAGCGTTGGTACACATGGGAAGAGCTGAATGGCTGCAAGTCAACTTAGGAGAAAAAGGCCTGTGTTTTGTCATGGACAACAAATGGAGCCTGAGCTAGTGATGCACCCTTGGAGGGCAAAGGTCAACAGCATCCTGTGCTTCATTTGGAAGAGCATCCCAGTTTAATTCTTGTCACTTTTACAAAATGTCTTGGAAATATTTCAAAGGGAACCTGAGCAGGGAGCAAACTGGGAGACCTCTCGAGGTGCCTGGGTCACTTAGAGTCAATTAAGGGTCTTGTTTTCAGTTGCTTTTTCCCAGACCATATTTGGTTTCACAGCAGTTCTGTATTATATGAGGTGGCTTAAGGTCATCTTCTAAGAATGATGGCTCTGTTTCAGGATTTGTCTCGCAGGTTATGGTGTTGGGTGGCTCCTGTTTCTAAAAGCTAGACTATGTGTGTGCAAAATTGCAGGAATCCCCACCCGCTCCTCCCAGCTGAACACAGGAACGAGAGCTGTAAATGCCCAGTTACGTGTGGGTTGCACCAAGGCTGTTAGGCTGCTTGTGCCATGAACACATGGCTGTCCCTTACTACCTCCCAGGAGAAGGTGACGGATTTGGTCGTGTCCTGCAGCCTTTTAGTGGGATCCCATTGCTTCAGTATGTAGCCAAACGTTACCAAAATATCAGTTATTTTGCTTAAAATACTTAGTGGTTACAGTGCAAGTGTAAGCGATCAGATACTGGATATTCTCTTCAAGTCAGATCTCAGCTTTTATCCAGCAGCTGCTAGCACAGTTTATTTTGTTTGGGGTATATGGCAAATGAGTTCATTTCAAAACAGGATCTTAACATAGTTTAACCATTACGGTCTTTGCACAATTGAAAATTGAAACTTCTGTACTTTCCTGAGGGAACTTTGTGCTCAAATGGATGTTTTCTTTGTTCTGAATGACTTTGAGTGAACTGTGTTTTACAGAAGAAAAGTAGAAGTTTGAGGTTTTTAATGAATCTGAGTGTACTTTTAAGAAACAAGCTTCCATATCTTGCCAATAAGATATACTGGTAGGAATGCGTCACGTATAGTCCCCTTCTGTTTTTTACAGAAGGTTCTTCCTCCCTTCCCCCTCCTGCCAGGGCATTAACTGGGATTTGGTTCCTCGTGGCTCAGGGACCATGATTCCTCGCATGGATTTTCTAAATTACATCATCGAGTGGAGACATGTACCTGAGTTGGTACTGAGCATGACTTGCTCTTGTTTACACTTGTGTTTAGCAGTGCTGTAACAGTTGTCTTTGCTGTTAGACTTTTTTTTTTTGTACAGAAAAAGATTTAAAGGGCAGCTGACTTGATTTGAGATAAATTGAAGCTCAACTCACCTTTTTCAAGATTTGTTTGGTGTACTTTCCTGGGTCTCAGGACCTGTTCTCTCTACTTTATACCATAGCTGCTCTCTCTACTTCAGAGATTAAGGATGGATAAAGTAGTGATTATAGAATTCTGAGCTTTGAGATGGCAAGAACTTGGGGTTTTTCTTGTCTTTTCCTTCTAACTCTGAGCTTATAATGACGATGAGTTAGTAGTATTTCATGTAGGATTTATGTTGTTATTGCTGTTTAAAAAACCATGCAGTCGTATTGGCTTATTTCATCCGTCTGAAAACTTCTGTAGTATGCTTTTAACAGTGCATGAAACATAGTAAACTTCTGTAAGGCTCCTCTTCTTTCTTCCTTTAAGATGTCATTCGGTAAGGTGGGGATTTTTCTTTGAAATGGCTGCTTAAATTAGGAAACTGGTGTTCTCAATTTAAAAAAAAGAAAAATTTGGACTAGAGCAGAGAAGGAAATAGTCTCACTGTGGAACAGACAACAGTCACAGGTCGGTCTTGTTGCAGGATTCAGTATTAGTGCCTCTGTGATACTAGGCTGTTCGCTTTCTGGCTTTCTCTCTACTAGAAACTGGCCTTGGTACGAGTAGGCAGTAGTTTGTCATGGTCATCGCCTCTGTGCTTCTGGCATTCCACCCAAGTGTGCATAGCATCAGTGAGGTTTGCTGCTGTATTTTGCAGACACCACAAACTACCTAGTTTCGAGCACTCTTCTCTACATCTAGCCTGTATGAGAGCTTACCTGAGTTAGCAGCTGATGAGGACAACAATTAATGTAGATATAAGCAAGGTCTTTTACTCCATTTCACTTATGGCAATGATGTATGCATATATATATCCTTTTTATTAAAAAAATCTGTAAGGTATGTCTTCTAGTAAGGCTTAGTACTAACGTCGTGAGTCTTTAAAGACTTCTTTGCATAGGAAAGCTACTGATCTCTTGCAGATTTTTTGGGCTTATTCTGTGGTAATTGATTTTGCAGTCGCAGTTTGGCAGAAGCATGCTCAGATGGGGATGTAAATGCTGTCCGGAAGCTGTTGGATGAAGGAAGAAGTGTAAATGAACATACTGAAGAAGGGGAGAGTCTCCTTTGCTTGGCTTGTTTAGCAGGGTATTATGAATTGGCACAAGTAAGTAACAGATACAATCACAACTAAGCCTTTGTGAAGCCTTGTCTAAGGGGCTTCTTTGATAGATAAACGTTTTAGCTATTCTGATTATAATAATTTTTTATGATCTAACCAGAATATCAGTTAATAGAGCTCATTGTGGGCTTCCAGTTATCGTTTGTCTTTTTAACAGAAAATGTCGTCATATAAACCTTTAGGTCTAAGGGGCTTGTTTGAGGAATGTTTCATGTGTTTTATGCTGTATCTGCTTTTCTGGCATCGTTCTAGATGCAGTCAAGCTGTTCTGCCAAGCAGACATTGCAAGAGGATCTAAAATAGCAGCAGAATCAAACACTAAGTGGTTACCTTTTAAAAACTATGTCTCAGTCACTCAGTCCTTTTTTTTTTTTTTTAATCACATCTGTATCAACAGGGCATTAATTTGTGTAAATTTTTGGCTTTTATACTTGTGTATCTAAGGGCAGGATTTCTACTTCTTTGCAGGCGTTTAGGTGATAGTTCTCAAAGTGGCCAGCTTTGTATTTTGGTGCCAAGCAAGAGTACAGGGAGAAAACTGTTTACCTGTAAGCTTGACCTGATGTGTGCTCTGGTCATTAATGCAGGTTTACAGTTTCTCTGCTGTCGTTCTGGTTAGTGAATTGCCCCGTGACCTTCAAAAATGTCAGTATTGCACTGCAACTTAATGTTGGTTTTAGCAGATACGAACAAATGTAGAAAAAGCAGCACTTCCTGAAGCATAGCACAGTGCAGGTAGTAATTTTAAGTGCTCCTGGAGAGTATCATTGTGTTTCACTGTTGGGAGTATTACTGCATGGGGATGTCATGGCTGGCTGGGGAATCATTCTCACAGGCCTCACTGAATTGAAAGCAAAATGTTGGTGTTACAATTTATTCATTCAAGTGAGTTTTTTTTTTCTCTAGGTGCTTCTAGCAATGCATGCAAACGTTGAAGATCGAGGGAATAAAGGAGACATAACTCCCTTAATGGCAGCTGCCAGTGGAGGCTATGTAGATATTGTTAAACTTCTCCTTGTTCATTGTGCAGATGTCAACGCACAGTCTTCAACAGGTAACTGGGAACCAGGAATGTGAAGAATTAGTGACTGGCACATAAGACATGCAGCTGTTCTGAACATCTGTGGTTTTGTCTGATAATTTCATTCACAAGAAAACGTGACAGGAACTGTTAGGAATAGGCCGGATGCATAGCGGGTGTGTTTAGTGTCTTACCTGCCCATTATTAAGGATTGTTTTTAATATAAACTGTAATGGAAAACGTTGTTCCTGTGAAAACCACTGGTGTTAGATGACCAGAAAAATACGTGAAGTTTAGCTTTTCTCATCTGTATAATGGGAAATTACCCAGTAAGAAGACCATGGGATGCATCTGGTCAAGACCAGTTATTTCAGTCTGCTTTTTACCAAAGAAGAGGTACAATTCTTGGAGCACTGAATGTTGTCTGCGTTGCTCATGCTTGACCACAGCTTAACTAACCTTGCTGAGACTATAAACCTGCAGTTGGATTCTGCTAAGATTAAGATAGAATTTAAACTTTATTCAAATTTTAAAAAAAGTTGGGTGTCTGAACTGTGAAATATTCTTTTTATCTTGATGTTTAGCCATATTAAGCAGAACTTACCTTAAAATTGACTGTAGCATTTAAAACCTGAGCCATGTATGATTGTCTGTCACTTACAGTACTAGAGTTTTAAATTACAAATTTATCTTCAGCCAGCCAGTAAATTTTTTGAAGGGATTACAGGATACAGTCTTAGGTAAAGAAAGCCAAACACCTGCCCTGCCTTTCTGGCCCAAACTCTACAGTGAGCATCAAAATTACTGATCGATCTTTCTGTGTGCATGTTTGATCGCTCTTTGTGTGCTGAAGTAGGAAACATAATAATCAAAGCAAAAAAGTCCTGATCAGTAATGTTGGCTTAGCATTAAAACTCTTTCATATTATAGTTGTGTTGGGATTTTATACCCAGCCTGAAATTATTGGCTGGAGTAACATTGCTGCTGCTGTTGAGGTACTTCGTTTTGTTCAGAGCTGTTGAAATAGTTTCCTTTCTTGTATTAGGAGTGGGTGATGGAAAAAGCTTTCATGTGAACTTCTTCTCTGCAGGGAACACGGCTCTCACTTACGCTTGTGCTGGGGGCTTTGTTGACATAGTGAAGGTGCTATTGAAAGCTGGTGCTAACATAGAAGACCACAACGAGAATGGACATACCCCCTTAATGGAAGCAGCCAGTGCAGGTCATGTTGAGGTGGCAAGAGTATTGCTGGAATATGGTGCAGGAATCAACACTCACTCCAACGAGTTCAAAGAAAGTGCACTTACACTTGCGTGCTATAAAGGTATTGTCTCTTACTTGGTTTTGTGTAAATTTATCTGCTAGGGTTTATCTAACTAAAGCTTCCAGCCGTACTTTGAATGTTTTTCTTTACGAGTTTTGGAATGCTGGATTTGGTTTTAAACTTGAGGTCGGGAAACGTTCATCCATGGTGTAGCGGTATTAAGGCTGTCTACCTGTGTCCAAATGTGGTGGGTACGTGTTTTGCATGTTGCAGATGGAAACTTGTGACTGGCTGCATCCAAACGTGTACTCGAACACGCCACCACTCTCCTTTTCTCTTCTCCCACTACCACATTCTCTGTTTCATTCAGATGCCCCTCACCAACTATCTGCAAGTTCTGAAAACATCTCAGTTGTTAAGAAAGTGTGAAGTTAGAATGAATCTTCCTGGAATACCTGATGGGGTGAAAATGCTAGTATTATTACTGGATACTTTTCCTTCAATGTAATTTTGGCAGATGTCTATGAATTGTTATGTATTATGAACTTTTATGGGCTTTTGACTTAATTTCTTTTGCTTTTTAAAGTTTCTATATAAAGTAACTTAGCGAAATGTTAATCCAGTGTGCTTCCAAGTGTTTTTTGTCCAAAAACCTCCATAAAATTCCCAACAACTGTTTTCATCCTAATGGAAGCTTTAAGGATGCAGATTATTGTCAGAGTAACTTCAGATTTTGCCTCTGTGGTTAGAGTTGAAGGGTACACACTATGTATAACCTATCTGGATACTTGTGTCTGGATTTGTCATGGATTTCCTGCAGCATATATCCTGCAGGATTCTTTACAGAGAAATTTCAGTAATATTGGATATGTTGGAGGGGCATTCTTGTTTCTTGTGACCTAAAACTTCATAGGGTGATGTAATGTTAAGATCTTCATCGACTAGAGATTCCTGTATTATCTTTGGCAAGATGGTTGAGCTACCTTGTTTTCCTGTCAGTTTATGCAAAACCAAGTCTTGTCTTGGAGGAGGATGCTCACTGAGAGGATAAAATATATAACTTTTAAGAGACGAATTCTAAAATGTCGAAAGCCGTAATAGAATTGGAAACAAGTATTGGTAAAGTTGAGTAGAAACTTTTAAAAATAGTGGCATAACATGCATATTTTAGTTTTCAGAAAGGTGTCTGTGAATGCTGTGATTAAATGCTTATAGTTAAGTTCAGATCTACGTGGACCTATCTCTAATAGATAGTCCCCCCTCAGTCGTATGCTGACTCGGAACGCTGAAAGCGTGTCTCACTTATTAAACAGTTGAATAAGGAACAAGCACAGTCTTCTCTAGCTTGAAGTCGCAAGGAAAGGTCCCTGTTGTGTAAACTTGAACTAGAGAGGTCTGTCTTTGTTGGGAAAGACTGTCCGAGGTCTGGCTGTCCGTTGTGTATTTTCAGAGTACTTTAAAAAGAGCAGGTTTGCAAACTGTAGTTTGTAAAAATTGTAACAGAAAACTATGAAAATATAAATGATTTAATTAAATGTATTGTCTGTACTACTGAAAGTTTATGGTATTAGATGCTGATTTGTTTTGCTCTGTTTCGTTTGAAGGCCATTTAGATATGGTTCGTTTCTTGCTTGAAGCTGGGGCTGATCAGGAGCACAAAACAGACGAGATGCACACAGCGCTAATGGAAGCCTGCATGGTAAGTAACCTTTATTTGTACCGTCACCTTTTCAGTGAGGGAGGAAGGAAAGAGATGATAAAATAAAGTGAGCCTTTGTTAACCAGCTGTTCTGGATCTGCAAGTCAGTGTGTGTTAGTTTGCATTGTAAGAAAGCCTTTACGGTGGTTACCGCAGGTGGCCAGCTTCTCAGTCTGATTGGTCATAGGGAAGAATTAATTTTTGGAGTGTGATGTGTTGTTTTAAATGCTTCCTGTGTGAAGTGTGGGGGCAACTAATCTGCAGTGCTGTAGAGTAGTAGGTTGAACCCCCAAGTCACTGTTTCTTTTGCAGTGTAAGAGTTAGTTTTCCACCTTCGCCTTTATAAACAAGGTCTCAGATTATCATGGTGTGATCCTTCCAGAAGTGCACTGATCTGGAAGACTAATGCAGGAGGAGCTTTGCATGTAGAGATGGTTTGCTCTCTTCTAGGTTTCTGTAAACGGTGCCGTGAGTTTTTTCTTTTGAAAATTAAAATGGTAGGTCAAAAGTAGTTTGGTTCTTAGACAAATCATAATTTGAAACCAGCCATTGAGGAAAAACTTCCCTCTCTGAGAGTTTTGCTTTAATAAAGAGTGCACTATTGGGTCAAAGCGTATCTGCAACCATTTTTGTCCAGACCTTAGATGACCTTTTATCTCTTCTTCAAGCTGGGGAACATCTTTGAAGAAGGAACAGGGAGCTTGTTTTCATAGGAAGCACAGCAAATGGAGGAAAACTTAATTTGCTCCCAGTAGGCTATAAACCTTAGGAGATAGGCTGCAATGTTCCTCTAGTCTTCTGAGAGGGAGGATCAAGTATTCTTATAGTGCAGTTGTCAGGTGATGATGCAAGTGCCCAAGGTCAGATTCTAACATCTCAAGCTGCGTTGAAGTCTTCGACAGTGAGATGGTAATGGTATCCATGAATAGTCTTCCCTGCGGGAGCACCTAGTGCCAGGATGGAATTCAGACGGACACAGGTGCAGTGGGTGTATGCTGTCACTTAAAGGAGATTGCAACGTGACTACAAACCAAATATTTTAGTCACCCTACTGTCCTGTTGAGGTTTTGGTTGGGGTTCTTTTGGCTTTTATGGTGATACAGTCTGAGCACTGGTTTAACTCGGAGGCTATGGCGTGTGTCACTTGAGAAGATGAAGTTGTGCGGGTTGCCTGCACGGTTTTAGCTCTTCGATGTTTCAGACTAGTTTGCATTGCAGAGTGTGTATTGACCCTTAAAAGCAACAGAGAGGAAGTTGATCCTTTGAAGTCCAAGTCAAATAGTGGAGTTTGCTCCTTGCTATCTTTTGACTGCACCCTTGCAGAAGGGAACTGTTCCACCAAATTATTGTGCTTTTTCCGAGTCTTCACTGTTTTCCAACTGTTGAATGCTGCAAATCCAGGAAGCTGTGATGTCTGATCACCAATTATATTGTCAGTGCCGCTGAGTTTTAGTATGTTTTGGTCAAGATAGAGTGCCGCTCCTAGGACAATGCCTTTAGTTAGATGAGGTGGCGGCTGGCTTTTAGCTAGCTTCTCTGAGAGCAACAGCCTGTCTTTAATTTACAGACTTGGTTGCTGTCAGTCTCAGGCTACTTGCTACCTGCTTCGTGGTCAGCATAAGACCAGCATTGGCAGGAGTTGCATGTTTGATATCCCTCCTGTCTCCTTTTCTGTAGCTCTGTGTCAGCTGTTTGAGTTACTGGCTGAGAGTTCTGGTGAGATCAGACTTGGGGAATTGGTAGTTCGCTTGAGGTTGCTGTTCTTAATACATAACCAGTTCTTTAATTTTGGGAATTAGTGGAATTCTTAGCTTTATAACTTTATAAATCACCCCTAGGTGTCAGTGCCCTAGCCTCGACAGCTCTGGCTTCAACCTTGGGCAGAAAGGTTTTCTAATGTCCTTTTTTTTGGCTTTTAGTATTGCCCATCTTCAGATTTCCTTCCAACGATGCAACATAGAAACATCTGCTATTTGCCACTGAAACTGGCCCTTTTTATGTCTTCCTGAGAAAGAAGTATTCTGTAGTTCTCTAGCAAAATCTGTCAGCATACATTGGGGCTAGTTTAAAGAATTAATCCAGCTTAACTGCCAAATCCTAGGAGAGCCACTGTGTCAGGACACAGGGCTCTAAATCATCAAAGCTGGCTGACAGCTTACTCCTGAAAGAACCCTGTGTTTCTTTGGATGGCAAATGGAGTGACCAAGGTGATGCGCCTCATACCTCTGCACCTGCAGTATATAAGACTGCAAGAGGTTGTCTCTCCACTGAGAGATACAAAGAGCATGCTTCGATTCAAGTCTTTTATTTTGGAGTTCCCTTTCCATCCTTGAGCTATGCTATTAATTGTTTATGCTGAAGAAAGGTCTAGTGTGAAATGTCCTCTGATTAGACCCTCAGACCTTCTATATCTCACTGAGCACTCTTTGCGTGACTTAAACCTCCCCCCTTCATTAGGTGTAGTTTGTAATCTGTTTCAGTTTTCCAAGATCTCTTCTCCAAATTGTTCCACCAGTTTGGGTCTCAGTTTCTTAAGTTATGTGGGAGGGAGAAATCATGTCAGTGTTCCTTCTTTCCTAATGCAAAAACTTCTTTGTTTTCCCCTTTTCAGAGGTATTGTGGCTCTCTACAAACCATACATTAGGTGAAACATGGATTTTTTGGTACCTGATCTATTTCAAGTAACTTTGAGGAGTTTAGTAGTAGTTTCTTGAGAAGCTGACAGCTGCATTTCTATTCTTTGATTGGTAAAGTCTCGAACAGACTGCCCTGGCAATCCTTAGTTCTCTTACCTCTGTGGCAAAGACTGATTCACTCCAAGGCACTTTTCAGTCTCCTTTAAGTTGAGGGAGGGGATTCTGACCCTCTGCTCTGCTCTCGTGAGACCCCCACTGCAGTGCTGCGTTCAGCTCTGGGGTCCCCAACACAAAAAGGACATGGAGCTGCTGGAGCTGGTCCAGAGGAGGCCATGAAGATGATCCGAGGGCTGGAGCACCTCTCATATGAAGACCAACTGAGAGAATTGGGCTTGTTCAGCCTGGAGAAGAGAAGGCTCCAGGGAGATCTTATTGCAGCCTGCCAGTACCTAAAGGGGGCCTACAGGAAAGCTGGAGAGGCACTCTTTAAAAGGGTGTGTAGTGACAGGACAAGGGGCAATGGCTTTAAACTGAAAGAGGGAGATTTAGATTAGATATAAGGAGGAATTTTTTTACAGTGAAGGTGGTGAGGCACTGGAACAGGTTGCCCAGAGAAATTGTGGATGCCCCATCCTTGGAAGTGTTCAAGGCCAGGTTGGATGAGGTGTTGAGCAACCTGGTAGTGGAAAGTGTCCCTGCCCATGGCAGGGGGGTTGGAACTAGATGATCTTTAAAGTTCCTTCCAACCCAAACCATTCTAGGATTTATTCCAGTCTTCCCTCTCCTGGTACCTGTCTCACTGTAATCCACTTCAGTTTTTCTGCAGGTATCTCTCCCAGGATCTAGAAACTGCGAGTTGGAACTTTTTTTTGTCTGTAGAAGCCATGAATCAACTATGAGGAAAGAGAAAATCTTTCTTCTGAAGCTTGTTTTGGGGTTTAGTCATAGAGTGGGTTTATTATTTGTGATACTTGTTTGCTGTCTCTGTTATTATTGTGTCACGGGTATTTTGCTGGATATTTAAGAAACTTTTATCCCATAACTCTTCCCCTGCTCCCCCAAGAAAGAAAAAAAACAAACCCACCAAACAACAACATATATCTAGCTCTTTTTTCCTCATGCATTTAAACCTCTGTTAGATGTAGGTGGAAACCTAAATGTCAGTTTAATCCAAGTATTACCATAACTATGTTGTAAATTGAACCATCATAAGTAAAAGTCCCTGTCTTTTTGGGATCGTTTTCAGACCTAGTGTGATAGTGGTTGCAACTACAGCATCAAGCGATTTCGACTGTTTCTGATTTTTGTGTTCACCTTTGTTTTGTAGGATGGACACGTGGAAGTGGCACGCTTGCTTTTAGACAGTGGTGCTCAAGTGAATATGCCTGCGGATTCATTTGAATCTCCACTCACTCTGGCTGCTTGTGGTGGACACGTGGAGTTAGCAGCTCTTCTGATTGAAAGGGGAGCTAACCTGGAGGAGGTTAATGATGAAGGTTATACTCCTCTAATGGAAGCTGCCCGAGAAGGCCATGAAGAGATGGTAGCCCTGCTACTGGCACAAGGTAGCTGTCGTTCCTTGAGCGTTTGTTATGAAGAATGCAGTGTTGGCCGTTTGCCATTAGGTTTTCTGTGCAAATTCCTCTGATGCTGCTCATCACTGTACTACAGAGCAAAGCTAAAACACCCTAACTATGGAGCTGACGAGCATCCACCTTTCTACCCTATGTCTGGTCAGTTAAAATAACAGCTATTTTATTTCTTAGGGGCAAATATAAATGCACAGACAGAAGAAACACAGGAAACAGCTCTTACTCTGGCATGTTGTGGAGGGTTTTCTGAAGTAGCTGACTTCCTTATTAAGGCAGGAGCTGATATAGAACTTGGTTGCTCAACGCCTTTGATGGAAGCTGCTCAAGAGGGTCATCTGGAATTGGTGAAATACTTACTGGCAGCAGGTATGTGTACAGTGCAAGTGATCTAGGCCGCAGATATTTTAGACTGGATGTTCCATATGGTTTAGAAGATACCTGGACTTGATGGTGGTAGTGTTCTAACAAGATATATTCTTAGATACCTTAGCAAGAAGAAAAAAGCCTATGTTACACCTTAATATTGTTTGATACTGTTAATAGAGGAAAGTGCCTGATGGAGCACTGCATTCTGTTGCCTATCTAAAAACCATCAAGTTCGTTAGGAACATTGTTTCCAGCTAACTGCATTTAGGACAAAATGTTAATACAGGTAATGCTTGGTTTTATATGTTACTCCTGCTTTGACTGGTCCTGATTATCTGCAGTCAATCTCCCTGCAAAGCCAGTACATTAGGAGTTGTGCTCTGGGAAATAGTGTGCAAGATAGATTCTGGAATGTGCCGAATTTCTGTGATGAAACGTTAGGTTTGCTGCTACGTTATACATTAGTAAAAATCAAATCTTGCTGGAGTTGGAGGGAAATGACACTTCAGTGTTCACCTGTCAGTTTAAAGTTGGTAGAGATGAGAGAGTAGTAATGCTGCTTAAAATAATAGACAAATAAAAAGGAGCTGCATTTCAGAAATCTTTGTTGTTATGGAATGTGATTTATTTGTATACTCTTTTCTAAGAATAAGCATGAAATTGTTTGGATTTGTAATTCTAGAAAGTAATGCTCCCTGCTCATCGAGGGGCAGCAACAACTGTGTCTTTGTGCAGCGATACCAGCGTGTGACACCCATCACCAGCTCGCTGGGAACACTGCTTGTGCTTCCCTTCTGACAATGTAGGAAGTTCACTGAGGAGCCTTGTTTTGGCAGCAGGGAGGCTCAACATACATCTCACACCTTGAAAATAAGAAAATGCCTGAATCACACTGGCATTACTTTTTGAAGAATCATGCATTACATAGCAAGAATCATGCATGGTTTTCACATAGCTGGCATATATGAAGCTAGTCAAATTATTTCAGCAAATGGTTTTAAAGCCAATGATTTTAAAGAGCAGGGAAGAAATGAGATTTGTAGAAGTGTATCATCTTGTAGTATTAATACTAATTCAGTAACATGCATTTTGTCTGGTTTTCCTTGGCATGCAGCTCCCTGTCAAATGGATAGTCTAGACAATTGTCTGGATTCACTTTTATCTGTTGTAACAACTGAAGTCTTCATTGCCGTAGAGGGAATGTAGGAGTAAGTGAGCGTACAGGGTTAAGTGCTTAGGCTGTCAGTCATGCCTTTCCCAAGCCTTGGCTTGACCCCTCTCCTCAGAGTGTCTTTACTGTAAGAGTAATTTTTACCATGAGAGCAGCGCCCTGGGGCTGTGGGAGCTGTTGGTCAGTAGGATACAGCTGTTGGCACAGACGAATCGCCTTGATTTCTGTGTTTGTCCGATGTGAAACACGTGCTAAGGAGACGCCCAGTAAGAAGAACCTCATGTTGTGTTTCTAGGAGCTAATGTTCATGCCACCACAGCGACAGGAGATACAGCTTTGACCTATGCCTGTGAGAATGGACATACTGATGTTGCAGATGTGTTGCTTCAAGCTGGTGCTGATTTGGTAAGACTTCTGCTGCGTCTTGTGGGGAACGTGCTTGGGTTTCAAGCTGTGTGCCAAAGCTGCTGTGCTCGTAGAGCAGGAGGGTGATTTGAGCAATTGATTCATATATGGGTGTGAAAAGAGACATGAAAGGAACTTTTTAAAAAGCCTGCATGCTCAGTTTTGTCTAAAAATAACAGTTCTGATCAGGTAGTCTTTCATCTGTTCAGTAAAAATTCTAAGCTATAGCTTACACTTGTGACAGTGGATTCTCTTCATTTCAGTATGGCCTGTAGGTTTAATGGTTCAG